TGGCTACTTCATATAATCGGATTTCAACACATGTAGAGAGGAATCATCGTTTGAATCGTTGGAATCATTATCCTTACCCAGAATCAATAATTCGTTGCAATCATCCATTTTGCGCTGCAATGGTCGCTTGAAGCATGGGATTCAGTTGTTGGGTGTTTAGGAGGTCATGTTTTGTCTAGATTTTAGCCAATGGACAGCGGTTGTGGCGGCTAGTGGTGATGTCGAGATTGAAATTAGGAATTTTTGAGATTTTAAGATTTTTTTATAATTTAAAAAAATTAAATAGTAATTTTAAGTGTTTTTATTAATATTTTTAAAATTTTATATGTGTGATGTGTCAAATAATGTCTAAATTTAACAGCAGTTATGGTTCAAACACTTAAAAATGTAACGTTAGAAACATTAAAAAATCTATTTTTAACGAATTTTTTTAAACACTTCAAATTAACTTTAAATATAATTTCAACACTTATTTTAACATTAAACCTTATACTTAAAAGTTATAAAACAATCGATAAATAAATAATCCACAATTTTACGTACATATTTGATGTTTTAGAACGTACGTTTCACTATGGTGAATTTATCATTTTGGAATATGCTTTCATTAACCTTTTTCATCACATATACATAAACGCATATTTAAGTGCCACTACTGTACACATAAGTACCACATTTACACACATTGGTGTGACTATTACACATAGATGTCACATTCACTTTACTTGTTCTCATAGCATTTCCATATTATATAATGTGCATTAAAAATTTAAAACAGTAGCTAAAACATCTCACTATGTTAGAAACTCTAAAATGTATACATGTATCTCTCACACAAGAATTGTATGGAACCAAAATTAGGTAGAGAGATGAGCTTACAAGGAACTTAGAATGGAGGATTACCTTATTTCTACATCCCTAATTAAAACTATGAGTTGCACACACCTACAACAATTTCAAACACTCACCCAGACCGGTGAGTAAAACTCGATTCGGAAAATTGATTTTTTTAAAGATAACTAGACTCGAATTGACTTCGAGTTGTAATTTCATACTCCCGACTCAAAAAAAATTAAGTTCAAATCGAGTTGTAAAATACAGCTTGAGTAGTAATTCGAACAACCAATTTGTTTTTAGTAATTAGTGGATTTATTTTTAACTTTGAGCCGAATATCTCGAATTTGTATAATATATGTATATCGAATATGAAAAGAAAATATTAAGAAATATATATGAATAATATATGGTTATTAAAATCTATTTAAATTGAAATCAAATAATATTATAGTATAGTGGGATGATGCACTATATTCTTTTAGAAAATATTTTTTCTACCAGAAATTAGGTAGCGAAATTAATATTTTCGGTAAAAAAATAATTTTTTAGATAATATTTTACCGAAAATATTAAAAAATCAATAATATTTCTGATGACGCCTTTCTTTAGCTGTATATCCACCAATTTACCCCAGCTTTGATTTTCTTGATATTTCCTCACATTTTCAACAATTTTCTCACTTCAGAATAAAGAACAGAACCATCGTGTAAAACTCATTTTTGTAGAACCATCATGTAAAATTTCTTAACAAAAAATGTTAAAGTGTATTGTATTAAATTAGTTTTCCCCCTTTCTTTGATAGGATATTTTATTATATTTGTTTTTAAAATTTATTTTAAAATTTTAGATAATTACACATGTAAATAGATGGTAAGATTATGGAAAATAGTTAAATATTTTTTAAGTAAATTGTGGGTCTAAAGAAATTATTTAAAGATTTAAAATAAAATTTAAGAAAATAAAAAGAGTAGTACTGTATTGTGTGAAAAACATTTAAAGATCTATTTGATGTTTTAACGATAGTTTAAAGATAAAACTAAGTATTAATTTTTATTAATATTTTTACATCATTGATTTATCAGGAATGACGATGAAATGATAATTTTATTATAAATCAATAACATTAATGATCGTAATGCAACAATTCAAACTTCAACTGCGAGAAAAGAAACTTATCCAAACATTAATGATTATTCATGTAGTTTACTCTTAAACATTTTGTTGTTCCAACTACTCCATTTAAGGGTGAACAAAACTCGATTCAACTCTAAAATTAATTTTTTTACTCGACTCAACTCGAAAAAACTCGGCTCGAATTGATTTTCGAGATGTAATTTCATAAACTCTACTCGAAAAATTTTCAAGTTCAAATCGAATTATATTTTACAAGTCGAATAACTCAAAATTTTTAGTAATTAGTAGATTGATTTTTAAGTTTGAGTTGATTATCTTAAATTTATATAATATATGTACATCACATCCGAAAAAATATGAATATATATATTATATTATATAATTATAAAAAATAATTAAAATAAAATAAAATAATATCATAATTTAATAAATATTTATTAAATTTAAACATAAATTTTAAAATTCAACACGACTTGATTTGAAAAATATAAAATCCACGTCAAGTTGTAAAATAAGGATCGTAGCATGAATAATTTGAAAATTTTGATTCAACTCGACTTAACTCTATCAAAATCTCACCACCGGCTCGAATTCGGTGCGGGTCTCAGGATTTTCCTCCCACGATTGCCAAACCTAGCAACGGTACCGATTAAAAGTCTCTTCATTAAACGGTCTAGATTAAATCTAACGTGTACACCCACGCTCTGTGTAGCCACAAAAAAGCGATACGAGCTTCAAAGAAACAAGTCAAAGAACATTCCAATTACTCTTCTCCGATTTTTGTTTTCAGGTTTTCTTTCAATCTTCAAAACGTTTCAAAGCGAGTAGTTGGGTTTTTTTTTGAATTTGTGTGGAAAAAGAAAAGAAAATGGCAGAGCACGAAGAGAAGAAGCACGAGGAATCTTTCATTGACAAGATTGCAGACAAGATCCACGGCCACGATTCATCGTCGTCGGACTCCGATGAAGATAAGCCATCAAAATCTTCGATCAAAGCCAAGCTGTTTCGTCTCTTTGGAAGAGAAAAGCCCGTTCACCACGTTTTTGGTGGAGGCAAACGTATGTTACGGGAACCCTTTTCTCCGATCCTTGAACTTGTTCACTCCATTTTTAACCTCTTTTTGAAGTACAGGATTTCAAATTTTATGATTTTCGTTCTGATTCAGATATGAACCCTCACCATTTTCTTTTATTGATCCCTTGATGATGATGGAAGAGTTATTAGATCTGACTTGGTGATTTGCATTTAGCTTCCAGTTTTGATTAATTAGTTATGTATGAGCTTAATTTTGGTTTTTGATCAGTTAATTTTATCTTCTATTGTTAAATCAACTTTAGAATCCGTAGATTTTTGAGGATTAGTTTTAGTGAAGTTCAATTCTTATTTTTATTTTTTTGCTTTGCGAGTGCGAACAGATTCTGGGATTATCTTTATGTTAGTGAAAGTTCCAAAACTTAGTATTATTGATTATATCTCCTTCGATTATAATAGTTTGGTTTTTTAAGTGATTATCATCAGTAATTATTACCTCTTGCCTGCAATTCCTTTTTTGTGATGCTCATGAGATGGAATGGTGTGCGTGCAACAGCGGCCGACATTTTACTGTGGAGGAACAAGAAACTTTCAGCAGGAGCTCTTGGTATTGCAACTGTGATATGGGTTTTGTTCGAATTGCTCGAATACCATCTTCTCACTCTTGTGTGTCACTTGTTGATACTTGCTCTTGCATTGCTCTTCTTGTGGTCGAATGCTTCGCAGTTCATCAACAAGTAAGCTGTTACATATGTTTTACAGATTTTGTGTATATTTGGACTTGGATTTCTTTCCGCTGATAGTAACGGTGTGATGATTTCTTCTTCAATAGGTCTACACCGCACATCCCGGAAGTTCAAATCCCTAAGGAACCGGTTTCAGAGTTTGCCCTGGCGCTTAGGTTTGAGATTAACCGAGCTTTCACTGTCCTGCGGGATATCTCATTGGGAAGAGACCTTAAAAAGTTCCTTTCCTTATGTTGTTTATCTGTTTTCTCTCATGTTGATGGTTTTCATTGATACAAGATTTGAATATTTTATTATGCATTTGAGAAACATATTGAAATGTCACTGTGATTGCTCAGGTTATTTCTGGCTTGTGGGTCTTGTCCATTGTGGGAAGTTTGTGCAACTTCTTGACGCTGTTCTACATAGGTATCGGGGTTGCTTCCGAGCACTCTGTTTTCTATTCCCGTATAGTTCTTGTTTCCTGGTTTAATTTTAATGGCTTTGTAAAACAGTCTTTGTGCTACTTCACTGTATCCGTGCTATACGAGAAGTATGAGGACAAGGTAGATCCATTCGCCGAGAAAGCAATGCACGAGATTAAGAAGCAGTACGCCGTGTTTGATGCAAAAGTTCTAAGTAAGGTTCCAAGGGGGCCATTAAAAGAGAAAAAGAAGCATTAGATCACTGGTGAAGTTGCTGCTGTTAGGTTCAGAGGTTAGACATACTATGTACTGTGTCTCGTGAAGCTGATAAAATTTATCCAGTGTCAGCTAGAACCCTGCTTTAATCCTTTTACTTTTTGTTGCAACTGGGTTCACAATGCTGATGAATATTGGAACTTTTGAATCTTTGTTTTCGATGCATTCATAGGTAGCCTGCTAATGGATCTCTATGCTTATGTGACAATATGTTATTGTGTTGCATGTTACATTCAGTCGATACCCTATAAGATTTTCTAGTTATCTATCCTACTGAATTGCATTGTGTTTAGGAATTAATCGACCCCATTGATCTTCAATCAACTGCTATAGCATGGACTAGAAGTATGTTATGTCTTTCCTAAACAAAAACAACATAATTCCACTGGATTGATGTCCCATGCCAATTTGCCTGTGCATACCAAATAGGGTAATCGTATAATGTTTATGAAATGCGAGTATGCCCATGATGTCATTGGAACTTTCCTGGAAAGATAGCCAAGCTAAACCAGAAGATAAAAGCAGTTGATATATTTTGAAATCCAACATTTTTGTGTCCTCAGTTTGGATTGGAATATAACCAAAAGCTTATGGTATTCAGTACTTACCACTCCAATACCCTCAACAAACTCTCTATCTTTAGTGTTAAACGCATGCATCGCAAACTATAAAATCATATTACAAATTTTTATGTCTCCTATCTGGACTTCACCACTAACAAGGATAGATTTTCAGGTTGGCTTCTGCTTTTGCATCGTGTTTGTTCTATATTTCAGTATTCACCTTGTTGTCGATGGATGGTGACTTAAACCATGGGTCCTCAATTAAAGTCTTCCTGTGTTGTCTGTAAATGTAAAATGAACCCTTCATAGGAAGTAAGTTAATTGCTCCTTCTTTCTCGAACCCCCTTCTCCGTACAACTCATTCCACTGTTTTAACTCGTTCATTCCAGCTCCCTCGGAGGCAAAGCTAGCCGCCACCTGCTCGAGACCAGAAAATGGGGTGGCAGAAGGAATTTGGGTGAGAAATGAACCAACCATCAATCTGTACATTTTCTTGGCAACTGGAACATGCTATAAACTCTCTTGATTATGGTTACCTGATTTTTTGCTTGCCTAAAATCTTCCATAGATAATGGCCTTAGGGTAACGACTCTTTCTTCTGCACTACCATCTGTGTTTTGCCCTTCAGCTGCTCTCTGTTTTCTCTCCTGTAAAGAGTAGTTTATTAGAGAACAAAAAGTGCATTTAGTCTTGAATTCTCCTTCAAGATAAAGTGTTCTCTTGGTTTACAGCAAAAGTAGGGGATTACAAAAGCCTAAGTTTAAGTTATTAACTTACCAGATCCTTCAATCTCTCTTGCCGTATTAACTCTCTAACTGGTTGATAAGCTGCCGTTGTGCATAAATTCTGTTTTAAAAAATAGGAAATGACAGTGATTATACTTCAAACTATCCATCTAAAAGATAACATCTTCTGAAAATGCAAACCTTAAGGTCACTTCCAGTGTATCCTTCCGTCATCAATGCTAACTCGGTGAAGTTTAGACCTTCTGCTACTTGTTCATTTGCCAAAAGAGTTCGAAAAATCTTTTCCCGGTTCTCTGCACCAGGAAGTCCCACCATGATCCTGTTAACACAACTTGATCATTAGTATATAACAACACACTTACGTGTTCAAACTTCCAATGTTCATCTTAGAGATGAATAAGGTTTGATCCAATATATAAGATACTCTGTGCACCTTCGCTCAAGACGCCTAATTATGGCTTCATCAAGGTCAAATGGCCTGTTGGTTGCGGCAAGAACTAGGATGCGCTCATCTTGCTTTGTCAAGAGCCCATCCCAGTGAGCCATAAACTCATTTTTTATTTTCCGCATGGCTTCATGCTCTCCAACTCTAGTCCTCTGCCCTAACATGCTATCAACCTCATCAACAAATATAATAGTTGGAGAGACTTTGGCTGCCAATGTGAACAAAGCTCGGACATTCTTCTCATCTTCACCAAACCATTTAGAAGTAATAGTGGACATGGATACATTAATGAAGCTTGCACCAGCTTCTTTAGCAATTGCCTTGGCTAACATTGTCTTCCCAGTACCAGGAGGACCAAACAACAATATTCCCCTGCAAGGCTTTAAGAGACCACCTTTGAAAAGGTCTGGCCTTCTCAAAGGGAGCATCACCAGCTCCTGCAGTGACTCTTTGGTCTCTTCTAAGGCACCAATATCTGCAAATGTAACATCAATCTCATTTGCTGGTATGACCTCTGGTCTTATACGCTTTTCAAATTCGTTGTCAGGAGGAACTTCCTGCCACAATTAAAACAAGTGTGAAGACATACAAAAAGAATGAGAGCAGCGGGATAGCGAAGGAACTGGATACCTGAGAAAATTATATCATCCACAAAATGCAGCTAAAAGAAAGACAAACTCACTGGAGCTTTTGAGGCTGGAGCAGAATTTTCACCCTCGGTTTTTGTTGCCGGAACTGTTTTTTCACTCTTCTTTTCAGGATTTGTGCTGCTGGGTTTTGGTTCTGGCTTAACAGCTGCAGAAGTAGCTCTTGCTTCCTAAAGTTGCACAAAGAAAAAATTGGGGAAGTTAAGCCTAGTAGCAATCTACCATTTTAATTCCTTCCTCTATATAATGTAAAACACAACCAGTTAAGCATAAAGACCTCATGTTTTTCCTTTTGTGTTTCCCCTTTTAACGTGTCTTTGCCAATGGATTTTCCTTCCTGGAATATACTCAGTCCATGTGACAAACTGCATCAACATGACTCGATTAAAAAATGTGATATTAATGGTAGCAACAACCAAGCACAAGACAATGATCCGACCTTTTTGATGATATCACGAGTTTTCCGTTTCTGTATTCGGGGTCCTTATTATTCATCAAATGATAAGAAATGGCGGATACGACAACCTCCTCAATGTATTTACTTAGGGCCATTGTGTCTGCCACACAGATTGAGTCTAGATCATCACAGTCGAGATCGTTTGCCGAGAGTACCTCCATGATGTGATTTCTATTATCCTGAGCTTGGATCATCTTCATGTCCTTTTCCAGTTGAGATTTCCAGCTTACAAGATGTTTTTCATCTGCTGGAGGCCTGATCTCAATGTTGTAAGGGAAAATGTCGGTTAACCTCTCGTCCACTTCCCTCTCATCATTACTCAGATCGACAACTTGTGACCCGAGGATCAAAACCTTCCCAGGAAGTTTCTTTAACATTTTTTCGAACAAATTATAAACCCTTTGTGATCTAGACAAGAGGTTGTCAACATCCCTAAGATACATCACAATGGGACTGGCTTTTGACACATACACCAAGACCTGCATTTATTTCAGAATTGCTGTTGATCCATAATTTCACAACAAGATATCATATCGTATAAACACAAGGTTCATTGACATTTCAAGATTATTCACTGCTGCAACTAGCAAGGATTCCAAATGGAAGATACCTTGTAAAGAGCCTGTATAAGAAGCTTTTCATCAAAAGACAAACTACTTGTTCGCCTCAGAGGAGCTACAAAAAGGGAGGAAAAAGATTAAACCAGTCCAAACAGAAAGCCCTTGAATTCTTATTAATTTGGTCCTTATAAAGTTTAAGTAGTTGATTGAAGAAAGATCAAGAAAAGTTGTTTGACGTCTTCCAGCTTCAACTTAAGGTTTTATTTACTCATTCAGGATCATAAGACATGACTCAGAGTCACATTTCTAATTATTCTTCTTCTAGGATGCACTGGACACTCACGAAGAAACCCCATATCAGTCTACAAAATATTTTCTACTCTTCTTATGACAGACAACTGCACTGTTTGTTGTTAGCTACTTCTAATGAAGGGTGCGGAAGAAAGAGATATTTGTTAGTTGTGAAATAAAAAACCAGTGGTTTATAGTGTTGATCTTGCACTTGAGGAAAAACTTCCAATCACTTCACCCAAAATTTATTTTCTAAACCATTTGAGAAAAGTAAAACAATTTTATGACTACCTGGATTTGCTGGACTGCATTGAGAAGCAAGGTTATTAATATTATCTGATACAGATGCATATCGACGTAGCTTTGGAGGACCTTCTGTTCCCCTGCAGTTACAAGGATCGGAAGATTGAAAAAAAAATAGAATAGGGCTACAAGTTTTCTCATAAGATTAATCGGGAACATATGTATCAATACCTTGATCCAATATCAAAACCGCTGCTCTGCCGCCTCAAGGTACCTGTAATACTTATAGTTCATGGTCACAATAATTTACACACGTCTACTGTAAACAATATTAACCAAACATATTTTAGTTGAAGAAATTGTTTATTTTAGTTGATGCTATGATATTCCAATAATTGTTATGGAAACAATATTAACCAAACATATCCTGCATACCTTTGGGCTCCTCCTGAGAAAGGAGTGAAAATGAACCAAATAGACCAGACAAGCGCTCGAGTGTTGATTCTGAGGTGGATCTTTTGAAAGACTGAAGAAGAGAATCATTAGTTAATTAAGGAAAATATATGTTACACAACAAGAAAAAAAGAAGAAAGAATTGATCTTACGGATTCTTGGCCACTTCCATATTTACTCTGAATCTGTAACAAAGGTAATCATTTAAATGACAGATGTGACAACTTGAAGCTTAAAGATGATCAAGTCAAGAGATGAACAATACTCACTTTTAAGGAGAAGTCAGTTATGTCCAAGAGAAGCAACTTGGATTCAAAGAAATGAGCTAAAGCTTTGGCAAGCATTTGCTGGTAAAGTTCTTCAAGGGAGAAAACAACAATCCAATTAGAAACCTTATAGAAACCGATCCATGAATTCCAATATATAATATAAGGTTAGGGTTCACTTCACTGATTTAGGACCGTAATCAGTACACGAGGGGAAATAGAAGTCAAGATTAACTTGTTTTTTCTCCGTGAATATCTTCTTATTTTCCACTCAAGATTAATTTGTTTTTCCTCCATGAAAATCTTCTTATTTCCCGTTAATCTCAACCTTCTATTTTTACTCCTCCGACTATCATAAATCTATTAGACTGCGTAATTGGATCTATCTCATATATATATGAAAGGAATTTAAGGCAACCAACCTGCAGGACCCGAGAGCAATATGGCTTGACTAGCAGGGGAAAGGTTCCTTGTGTACTTAGAAACATCAGCATGTTTCAAGTGGACATAGGCAGCACTGGTTAGCAATGCTTGAGTTTGCTCACTGCCAAATAAAATCAAACACCATTCGAACAGTGAAAAGCTAATTATATGCATCAAGCCTTGAACAAAGCAGCTTAATAGTTAAAGCCTTCATATTGGTGATTGAAGAAAACTCTGGTAGCTTAAAACCCAAGCTATATCTTAGCTCAAAACATTCATATAGGTATTTTTTTTTTTAATTTTTGCTAATATGAGAAAAAATTACCTGAGATAGTAAGGGAACTGATCGAAGGTGACTTGGCTTTCTCTGCCATCAACGACCTGGCGAAGCAATTCTTTCTCAATCCTCTCCAAAGTGATGCCGGTTGAAGAGGTGGAACCGCTTCCGGTCCATCTGGTCTGACCCGAAGCCAAACCCAGACCCATCCCTACCCCAACACCCACACCCAAAGCGGATAACAGTATATGTTTTTGTTCCATTGCCTGCCTGCCTGCCTTTGTTTTTATATTAACCTTTTGTGTTTATAAATGGAAGCTCTTTTCGTGTTGGCGTCGCCCAAAAGGGGGAAGAAGTGGCGGATGGCGGCGGAGGAAGAGAGGTGGAGTCGGTTGCGATTTATGGAGGAGTCTGTGTATGAAGTTTATAAAAGAGGAAGAATATGAAGAGTAAGAACAGGGTAGCTTAGGTGGCAGTAATTTGACGGTTTATGATTCGGTTTGACAGTTCAAATAAATAGTATTTTGTTGTTTTTCTAAAAAAAAATAATATTGTGGGTCTACTTGGCGTAAGGCTACGAGCTACGTCTGCATTCAATGAAACGTCGCCTAATGTTGTCGCCCAAAGTGCGGTAATTGGATAAACTCATGAACTCACTTCTAGAATCCTCCTTCGCTTCTCAAGAACAGTAAATGAGTTTGATACAAGTTTTAATATTGTTGAGTTTAAAAAAGTTCAAAGTTATAAAATTTTTAAATTTAATGAATTTAAATTTTAAATGCATAAAAAATTTTATATTGTATTTTTTTAAAAGATAGTTAAATATCAAGTAATTTATTTTAGTTTATTAAAAATTCAAATCGATATCAAATAACTCACTATCTGTTTTGTCTCATTTACAACCCTACTCACACTCTCTTATTTTGCTTATCTGTGGATGAGATGAGATTTATGTATAATTTTATGTTAAAAAATAATTTTTAAAAAGTTTTTAAATAAAGTTTAGATTATAAAATAAGATTTGTCAAATTAAATAAATCAATTTTTAAATTTGTCTTGATTCAATCAAGCGTTTATTTTATTTGATGAGTTTAATTTTTTATTAATAATATATTTAATAAGATAAAAAGTGAATTATTAAAAATTAAAATAGGAAAAAGAGAGTATATAATTGATTTAGCAAAGGTTATTGGGTATGTACGAGGTGCAACAAGTGGCAAGTATGAGAGGGAGGTATGGGGAAAGAATCAGAAGGGGAAATGTATTATGTAAGAAGCAGAATGGGTAAAAATAAAGGATGTGTGTGTGCTGCTTCAAAATTCGAAGCAGATAATGCACACATTTTAATCTCACTCTACACGTGACTACTGACAACTACCACCATTTGTACCAATGGAATGTGCTTGATATTCCCTTTAATAATTTCTCTCACATACAAATAGGAAGTCGAGTTGGTTTTTTAAATTATTTAAGGTGATAAATTTTATTTGATAATTTTTAGAATCGAATCAAATTTATAAAATTTAAATTGAGTTGTTCTAGTTTTTATTTAAACTTAATTATTAATATTATAATATTATGATAATAATTGTTTTTAATTTAAATAATTGTCTATAATCATATATAATACCCTAATTTTGTCTGTATAATTCAAATCAGATTAAAGGTGATTAAAGACTAATTTGAGGTCTATGCATTAATGATGGATTGAATCCTTAGGAAATTCATTCCTGATCAAAACAAAATGCCATAATCTATTTACATTCCCATAATATCAAGAGACCAATTGTTTTATTCTTTAACTTAATTAGAATTTTCCACTGTCTTTGCTGTGTTTTCAGAATTCGGTCACTAATGTCTCATTTTTTTCATTTATTTTAATTCCGCTTTGCCGTTTTATATTTGTTTTAATTTGGTCACCATTCTTGATGTTATGTTTAATTTGAATTTGTGCATTGATTTTCACTTTTTGTTCATTTCAATCACTACTACATGATATTTCATTTAATGCGAATGTGATGTATTATTTTTGTCATTTTACATATTTTTAGATACTGTATTTTAATTTATTTCATTCTTTTATTTTTTATTCGAATTTGTTTTCTAATTTATTACATTTTAGTCCTTATACTTTTAATTAGGTGAGTAATTCAATTTGGTCCCGAAATTAAATGCATTTAGGGTTCTCATCAATTATTCAAATCAATAAATGGTAAAAATTAATTAGGGTTCACTTTAGAGCCTTCATTTTAAGTTTAATTTCATTTTAGTCCTTTAATTTAGAGAATATTCAATTTGATCCTTGCATTAAATGCCCAAGAGTTCTCATCGATTATTTGATTCAATAATTGGTTAAAATTGACTAAGATTAATGTTAGATACTATGAATTTTACGTTAAGTCCCTTAGATCCTTTAAATTTTAAAATTTGATACTCTAAGTTAGAAAATTGCCTTAACTAACCATTTAGTGTAATTAGGTTTAATAATGAATTGTTTGATTGCGTGTTGATTTTAAAATGAAGGTGATGAGTGTTTTGAATCGGTCATATTTGCTCGTTAATTCTTCGATCTTATGGATTTATTGTTGCTGATTTGGTTGTGTTATGCTTAATTTTGTGCAAGGTCTTACTCTCCAGAATTAGTAGTAAAACGGGCGCATTCTGTATTTTTTTATTATTTGGTCATGACTGGAGACATGGGCACTACTCTGGGCATAACACGGTCTGACGTGTCAGTTTCTAGAAGGTCCAGTCAGTGCTTCTAGAAGAACGAATAGATCATCTACACGTTTCTGCAATTCAGATTTGAATTAAACTCAAGTTTTAGGATATTATTTTAAATATTATATTTGTTTTAGGAATTTTAGTTTATATAGTTTTAAGTATTTCAATTAGGATTTAGGATATTATTTTAAATATTATTTTATTTTATCTTTGTTTTAGGTATTTTAGTTTAACTAGTTTAAGTGTTTTAATTAGGATTTAAGATATTATTTTAGGAATTATCTTTAGCTTGTTTTTAGGAATTTGAAGGTTATAAATACCCTCTCAGGGTAAGCCTAAAAACATATCTCTTACATCTGATAATTAAATCTTCTTTTTCTCTCTAGCTTTCTCTCTATTTTGCGCATACTTCTTCTATTTTCTTTTAAAATTTTGTTTTCAATTATGCTATGTATGACTTTGGTCATGCTTAGCTAATTTTCTTTTAAGCATAAAGCTAAAGCTAAAGTGAAGGCCTAATTCCAAACGCGAGAATTGTAAGGCACTTAAATCGCTTCAAATTTTTCTCTCTATTTTCTGGGCTTATTTTCAAATCAAAAAATTTTCAAAACCAAAAGTCGACATTGGTCTGGATGTTGTTATGGTTAACGTTGGAAGAAAGATTGGCTTATTGAAGCACATTCGACTTCCTATGAACACACTTAGCAAAATTGTTTGCTAAGAAGAAATTGAGATCGAAATCAATTATTGTTGAAACAACATAATCCGAGTCGACAACTTTTTTGAACTTCAACGTTTTAAGATCTACAACATTGTTGTCCCTTAGATCAACTCACAAACCGAAATTTAAGAGTGCACTTAGATATTCGGTACACAAAGCATAGTCACAAGGATTTGTCCTTGTAGACAGGTAGTCGATGTGAATCTTGAAGTAAAGATCTGTTTCGATGATCATAGGAATTTAAGGCAAAGCTGAAGTTTGAGGCTGCTTTTACAATAAGTTTTCTTTATCCCAATCTCTTTTATTTATTTAATTGTTTATGTAACACCCCCAACCCGGATACGAATCTGAGGTGTCCCATTGACTTTTCAAAGCACAAATATTTATAAAAACCATAGTAAATTTAAACTTTTATTAACACAAAACTATATTTACATAACTAAGTTCAAAATGTTACAACTTGACAGAGCATACATACTATATAACTCTATTTACATGCCAACACACATATATTACATAGACGCACATACTGTATAAGGTGCTTCTGATCTGATCTTCAAGTTGTGGTATACTGCTTTGCCACTCCTAAGATGATCTTCTTACTTTTCTGTACTTACGTGTAAATCACTTACACGTTAAGTCATAGACTTAGTGAGGCATAAACTTATAAAAATGCATTTCTTATGAGTATGAACATGTAACATACCATTCATATAAAATCATCACTATCATTCATGATTCCATTTCATTCATGATTCATTAAGACCAATACTAATACAATAACCTATAATGCAATACACACATTCTCATATTATTTATAGGCCCATGTATATACTGAGAACTTAAGGTTTTCGAGTGCATAGAGATTGTGCACATCTACTGTCACCACAACTTGTATAAGTTCCATTGAGTGGCATATGAGATTTGTCCCGGAGGACCTATGAATATGTCCTGAAGGACCTATGAAACCCTCGACTCTTAGCATGCCAACTATACCTAGAGCTCTCATATTACATCACATGGGCATTAATATTATACTTCATATAAACATGTGCTTATGTCATTTCCTTTGTAATCCCAAATATCTTTTCTTCTATTACATTTCTCATGTGCATATAATCATTCATCTCATATTCTATAACATAAGTAATTGAAATACATCCATATCAGTCATATAACATGTATTGAATCATATGAAACATAAATAACTTATGCATGTTTAATAAAGACGATGATGTATGCATGTTCATAACCATTAGACTATAAAATTACCCTAGGAAATAGATTTATCACAAGTCTTATTTCCATTAAATTGTACCTATATTATGCACTCACCTTAGCCTTGTTTGCTTTGAATCGATCCTAATCTTTCGATTGTTCCGGAATGGGATTACGTTTAGTATCTACATAACATACATGGATCCATATTAGTATTCTAATTGATATCCTCTAATCTATCACCTCTTAGACTAAAAGAAATGTTACTTTTATCTCTTAATTAAGGTAGGTATCGGTACACTCTACAGTGTATCGGTACATTCCTTAACGTGTGTATCGATACACAAATTACATTCGATGTTTTTCTTTACAAGAAGTGTATTGATACACTTCCTATGTATCGATACACAAATTACATTCGATGTTTTCATTTTAAGGGGCGTATTGATACACTTCCTGTTTATCGGTACACATGAATAATTTCTGGAAACTTACCCTTGATGTAACGGTACATGTTGAATATGTACCGATACATACCAACCCATAATTCATATTTTATGCACGAGAATTTCTTCATTTCCAGCTCAACACTTCCTATTTTATTCCTTTACATATTCTTAGTTCATCTACTCATACTAAAACTCATATCTACTCAATAATAACTTCTTTAACCTCAAAATCTTATCCTTTATATGTAATTCAAGAATT